CAACTAACATACATAGAAAGATTCATACATACACAACACACACCATCACACACATACACACTAATCTAATATACTTCATTAAGAAATACATTTCAGTTTTGGAAGGTGTCCCGATACAAAAATCTTTGCTAGAAGCAATGGACAATACCATTGGGCAATGGCACCAATGACAACTATGATAAAGAGAGAAGGCCAATAACTTATCTGATAAGTTATTGGCCAAGCATTGCAATATTAGGTTCAGGTTGACTTTTCTTACTCTTTTTTTCTGACTTTTCCAACATTTCTCGTTTCTTTCTTGCTTTACTTGGACTAACAAATTAGACCAGCTGAATACTACATTCACACCAAATCTAGTGGGAACAAATCAGTCACTTTCCAGCTCAATGGCTAGCTCGATCCTTTCCAATATGCTAAGCATACTAAGCATTACACAAAGTAAGCATACGAGCAAATTTAAATAAGTCGTGGATCACTTAAATCGGCATAATTGGCCTCTTCACAATCTAACCTGCTTAATTTCAGGAGGAGCAGGAACTTCCGGAGCAAAATCTTCTCGTTCCTCAGGATCATTACCAACAGCTTCATCATCATCTGTGAAAATTTCCTCGTGCTCCCAATCATCACCTAAAAAGCCGAAGTCGAGATAAGGAAATCCAGTTTTACAAATTAATTAGTCATCAATAGCAACACTCTTCCCATTTTTTTCATTAGGTTGTGTATAATTCTACAATTAATTGAATTAAAGTATAAACAAACTAATAGCTATTAACATTTAACCCATTTCTAGTTCAATATAAACTCTAGTATCATTATTTTTCTCTCTCCAAGTAATTGAAATAGATTTTCGCAATTTCGTATGGAAAGCAAGCCTTCAAATCTAGAAATTTAAGTCCGCCTCTAATACTCAAGTATATGCATCATATCAAAACCTTCAATTGGATATTTTATATCATACCAAACCATGTCCTAAACTGTAATAAAGTTTTACCACCAATACACGGCTCTACCTTGCGTACCTGTATTGGTTACCATAAAATTTACTGAAGTTTGATTTTATTGCTGACACTAGCCCAAATTATCTATAAAAAACTCAGCTGAACTTAACAATACAGGTTCCAGGTTGCATTGCGCGCTTTGTTATCTTAGAATCCACATATCCTTAGTAATTTACCCATCAATAGTAATTCCATTCTGCGAAAGATGTTGAAATTTGAATAATCCAAGTTTAATCTATACGAATTCCCCAAGTAGAAAACCACTGGATAGAACCTTTACTTAAAGTAATTGATTCAATAAATAGACCAATCTACATATCCTTAGAACAAATGGATTACATCATTTGCAATTAAGAAGAAAGACTTGACACGCATTATCAAGTATATCCTTGAGAACCCCCAGCATCATTTGTAAGTGCCATTCTTGTGGCCCAGTTTAGAGCCAATACATGCATATATAGGAAGTTGGAAATTGAAATCCAGAAATCGGTACGCAAATAGCTCTGAGCCAAGTCAACTCCATGTTAGGTAGCAAGTCATACCAGAAAACAACATAAAAATATGAGATGCGACTAAAATCTTATAAGATTCAGTCAAGACTCGATGGTGACTCAGTGCGACGCCCAAGTCAACTAACCATACACAATTATTATATGTGTATGTATATATGCTTAGGCACCTAAAGCAATCAGATTTTCTCAATGGTTACATATTAAGATGCCCAAGTATGGATAAGGAGGGAGAATGGGGACACAATATTACTAAAAAATCAGGATAAAGATACTAATAATACGAGCATCTATCTAACACATCTATAAATAATTATTATAGCATGCATAATATAGAAATATATGCATCCAACACTTTTTTCTTAAACAAATTTCATTAATAAAAAATGACATACAAGTTTGTGTATCCTCTCTCTCTCTCACATCCCTTCAATTAGTGTGTGAGAGCTCTCTTTACTTCTTTACAAAATTGGGTCTACATACAGACTAATTGACAGGTTTCAAAAAAGAGTAACGACTACATCAGGTTTAGACACTCCCTCCCTTGATAAACTATCAGCTTTCTCATTAGACTCCCGATACTTGGCTGAATTTCACCAAAACCTTTCCAAGATGATCCCATATTTCTACATATACATTGTGTACCTGCCATGGTTACCTCTCCTTGCTGCTAGCCCAATTTACAGAATTGCCGCAATCTCCATCAATAATCACCGTATCCCACCTTGTGTCCATGCATCTCAAACCACAGAGCAAGGAACTAGTGTCAGACCTCCTTCTTAACATAAAATCATGCATGCGTCTAAGCAATATGCATGGAACTTCCCTCATGACATAACAAATTACAAAGGACCCGCAAGACTTGTACGGACTTATGCTATCTTGGGAGGATTTAGCTTTCTCTACTAGCAGGCCAATTTTTAGACCGACAAACCTCAATGAGGGAGTACCTCCAACCTTGCCTGACCTTCGGTGAGAGGCGAGGTTAGTTCGGGGCACTAACGCGCGCCTATATGTGGGCTAGCAGCAAAACACTAGGTGCAAGACCTTGGGTAAGATGGTTAAAACAAATGACTCAGTTGGTGGAACTTGTTGGACCACCAAGACCAATCAGCTGGGGGCTTGGATGATCAACCCATGGCCAACGTGACCTAATGGGAAATGAACATATCCCATGTACAAGAGGCATTGCTGACCATGCACTTGAGCTGGTGTAATGATCCTAAAACTTCAAAAAAATAAAAAAAATTTAATAAGTGATGGTCCATATGAGCATGATTAAAGAGATTTAGAAATACTTTAAGTATGCAAGTAGACTCATCCGGTCGCCGTTGAGGTATAGGTGGACCTATCCGGTACGCCAATAGGGATTAAGTGGACTCATCCGGTACGCTGGTGAGGTATAAGTGGACCTGCAGGGATTAAGTGGACTTACCTGGGACGCCGATAGGTATTAAGTGGACCCATCAGGACGCTGATGGGGTATATAGATGACTTACTTGCGACGCCAGTAGGGTATTTTGTGAAATCTTTTGAATTATGCACTAACGTTAAAATGTTATACGCATTTCAATTATTCGAATTATACTTAATTATGCATTTTTGAAAGTGAAACAATTGATGCATTTCTGTTAATAGATCTCCTTTTTGAAAATATTGATATCTTTCAACCATGATTATTTTTAGGATTATGATGATCACTTACTCAGTAGCCAAACTCATCAAATTATGGTAAACATTTTTTCAGGATAACTGCGGTTTCATTTTGAGTGCTCGTCAGGATCAACTCTGGAAGATATTGTAGTTGTGCTTAAACTTTCTTTTGTTACTTTGTAAGAATTCGCCACTGTAAATTTGTCCTATCAAGAGATGTATATATGATTGTCACATCTCAGGAATATCAGTATTGTAAATTCTTGGGGCGTGACAATTATGGTATCAGAGCAATAGGTTTAAGACTCTTAGGAAATTTAAAAAGAATGTACTCAAAATCACATTTATTGTGTGTACAGACCGGGACGACGTCAAGATCTAGAATAGCTGAAGCTCATATGGAAAGAATTCACAAAGCCTTGAAAAATATGGTTGCTCTAATGCAACATCAGATGGAAAACAACAATTCACCCAGGCAGTCAGTTATGGGAAATGGTGGGAGTAATATCGAACAATTTAAGAAATTAAACCCACCTTCTTTTAAGGGTGTTGTAAACCCACTGGAAGCCGAGGGATGGATTATGTAATTAGAGAAAATATTCAAGGTAATGGAATGTCCTGATGATAAGAAGGTGGCCTTGGCAGTTTTTATGTTAGAAGATGAAGCACAACATTGGTGGCGAATGGCAAAAGGAGTATTGGTCAAAGAAAATAAACCCTTGACTTGGGAAGTATTTCAAGAGGCATTTAACGAAAAGTATTTCCCAAATTTTATTCGAGACCAAAAAGAAATGGAATTTCTGGAAAAAAACCGGACAATAGCACAATACGAGGCCAAGTTTACTGAATTGGCCAGGTTTGCACCACATATAATTAACAATGAGGCAAAAAAGGTGAAAAAATTTGAAAGGGGTCTCAGACCAGCTATTAGAAGCAGAATATTAGTCTTAAAATTGAGAACTTGAGAAAAACCATGGATCGAGCCCTTGTTATTGGAATACTGGAACCTGTTTTAAATGTGAAAAATTGGGGCACCAAATTAGAGAATGTCCTAGCTTACAGATGCAACAGCTTCCAAAGAAGGGAGAGATAGCTCAAAAGCCTCAGGTGAACAGAAGAGTATTTGCGATCACCCAGCAAGACGCTCAGTCATCAAAATCAGTGATCCAAGGTACTCTTATTATCTTCCAAAAAGTAGCTCATGTTTTGATTGATCCTGGATCACCACACTTTGCATGCCACTTAAAGGTAGAACCAGAACAATTAGAACACATTCTAGAGGTAGCCACACCAATGGGAAATTCAAGTGACACCAATATAGTGTACAAATCCTGTGTAATAAAGATAAAAGAAAAGGAACTGTTGGTTGATTTAATACTTCTAGAAATTCAAGATTTTGATGTAATCTTAAGCATGGATTGGCTTTCTGCATACCATGCAAGTATTGATTGTTACAAGAAAATGGTTACCTTTAGTATTCCGGATCAACCAGTATTTTACTTCAATGGTATCAAAGAAGACTCCCCATCATATTTAATCTCCTGTATTCGAGCTAATCGCCTCCTCAAAAAGGGTGTCAAGGCTTTCTTTCCTATATCAAAGAAGATAGGAAGGAAGAGATAAATTTGGATACCACTCCGGTTATCTGAGAATTTCCCAACATTTTCCTTGAAGAATTGCCAGAATTACTGCCTGACAGGGAAATTGAATTCTCTATTGAATTATTGCCACGGGTAGCCCCAATTTCTAAGGCACCTTACAGAATAGCACCAGCAGAACTTAAGGAACTTAAACAACAATTGGAAGAATTATTAGATAAAGGTTTTATCAGGCCCAGTGTGTCACCTTGAGGTGCTCCGGTATTGTTTGTTAAAAAGAAAGATGGGACCATGAGATTGTGTATCGATTATAGATAGTTGAACCAAATGACAATGAAAAATAAGCATCCATTACCTAGAATTGATGATTTATTTGATCAATTACAAGGATCACAAGTATTTTAAAAAATTGATCTTAGATCTGGATACCATCAGCTTAAGATTAAAAGTGAAGATGTCCCCATGACAGCTTTCAGAACAAGGTATGGCCATTATGAATTTTTAGTCATGCCCTTTGGATTAACCAATGCACCGACTGCATTTATGGATTTGATGAATCGGGTCTTTAAGCCCTTTTTGGATAACTTTATTGTGGTATTCATCGATGATATTTTAATTTATTCCAAGAATCAAAAGGAAAATGAGCAGCATGTAAGAATGATAATGCAAATATTAAGAGAAAAGAAATTGTATGCAAAACTTAACAAATGTGAATTTTGGCTTGAACAAGTGACATTTTTAGGACATGTCATATCAAAGGAAGGTCTATCAGTTGATCCTTCAAAGGTTGCAGCCATTGTTAATTGGAAACAACTAAGTAATGTGACTGAAGTTCTAAGCTTTTAGGGATTGACAGGATATTACAGAAA